AGTGGTTTGGGATACCCTCCTCGCTCAGGCGGGGCCTCCCTAGAGGGGTGGGAGGGGCACTGAACCTTGTAAATTCTTTACGCTTCGCGTATCCCCACCAGCCTATCTCACAGCAGCAATTCTTGCGAAGCATGCCGACAGTCGTGTTTTTCAGGCGTGTGTCCGCTTGGCCCCGCATATCTCCCCTGTTCCTCCTTCCTCCCGCCTCCTTGTACATCCTCCTTGTGGGGGGAGCGGGAGAAGGACGAGGCGGAGGAGGAGGGAGAGAAAGCGCTCCTCGTGATTTGAGTCGTTTGGGGTTTCTCGTCCTGGTGTGAGTCGTTCGGGCCCTTCTTCCTGGTGTGAGTCGTTCGGGCTCTTCGTGGTGTGAGTCGTTCGGGCTCTTCGTCCTGGTGTGAGTCGTTCGGGCTTCTCGTGGTGTGAGTTGTTCGGGCCCCTCATCCTGGTGTGAGTCGTTCGGGCCCCTCCTCCTGGTGTGACTCGTTCGGGCTCCTCGTGGTGTGAGTCGTTCGGGGCCCGCGTCGTGGTGTGAGTCGTTCGGGCTCCTCGTGGTGTGAGTCGTTCGGGCGCCTCGTCCTGGTGTGAGTCGTTCGGGCCCCTCCTTGTGGTGTGAGTCGTTCGGGCTCTTCGTGGTGTGAGTCGTTCGGGCCCCTCGTCCTGGTGTGAGTCGTTCGGGCTCCTCGTGGGGCCTCTTCGGGGCCTCTTGGAGCCTATTGGGGCCTCTTGGGGGCCTCTTGGGGGCCTCTTGGGGGCCTCTTGGGGGCCTCTTGGGGCCTCTTGGGGCATCTTGGGGGCCTCTTGGGGGCCTCTTGGGGCGTCTTGGGGGCCTCTTGGGGGCCTCTTGGAGGCCTCTTGCGACCTCCTCAGAAGCGCAAATGAGCGCTGCCCCCTGAGAAGGACAACATGAGCCCAACACCTTCGTAAAATCAACGATTGTGCTATGAAGGAAGATGAGCGGGCCCCCCTCAGAAGGCCAAAATGGGGCCGAAACCGTAGTAAAATCAATGATTTTGGCTTCAAAGAGGAGGAGATGTTTTTTTTCTCAATCCCCCCGTCGGCGGCAGAATCCTCGTGAGGGGTGTCGTTTTTTTTTTTAGCCCTCCCAGGAGTCGAAATTGACCCCCCTGACGACCCGCGGAACGCCCTCTCCAGGCCCAGGGGGAGGGGGGAGGGGGAGGGGTAAACCCCTCCCCGAAGGGGAAGAAGGGGGGTTGAGAACAGAGAGAGCTCGCTAAACCACTCACGCCCAAAGGGCTGGTGGGATAATATGGTTTGGGGATACTTTCCTCGCTCAGGATGGGCCTCCTTAGAGGGGTGGGAGGGGCACGAACCCTTGTAAATACTATGGTTTTGGGATACCCTCCTCGCTCAGGTGAGGCCTCTCTGGAGGGGTGGGAGGGGCACCGAACCTGATATCTGACATATGGTTTTGGGATACCCTCCTCGCTCAGGCGGGGCCTCCCTGGAGGGGTGGGAGGGGCACGGAACCTTGTAAATAGTATGGCTTCTCGGGCGGGGCTTCCCTGGAGAGGTGGGAGGGGCACGAGATGTTGTAAATGACATGGTTTTGGGATAGCCTCTTCGCTTGGGCGGGGCTTTCCTGGAGGGGTGGGAGGGGCGCCAAACCTTGTAAATAGTATGGTGTTGGGATACCCTCCTGGCTCAGGCGGGGTCTCCCTGGAGGGGTGGGAGGGGCACGGCACCTTGTAAATAGTATGGCTTCTCGGGCGGGGCCTCCCTGGAGAGGTGGGAGGGGCACGAAACCTTGTAAACAGTATGGTTGTGGGATACCCTCTTCGCTTGGGCGGGGCTTCCCTGGAGGGGTGGGAGGGGCGCCAAACCTTGTAAATAGTATGGTTTGGGGATACCCTCCTCGCTCAGGCGGGGCCTGCCTAGAGGGCTGGTTGGGGCACGACACCTTGTAACCAGCATGGTTTGCGAATACCCTGCTCGCTCTGGCGGGGCCTCCGTGGAGGAGTGGGAGGGGCACGAAACCTGATATCCAGTATGATTTGCGAATACGGTAGATATGGTATGGCAGGTAGGGTCTAGTATAGTACGCATGGTATGGTCGAAGATCGCAGGTAATACTATTGATATAGTATGTCTGGCAGGTCTGGTATAGTATGTAGTACGTATGGTATGACAAGGTATGGTACGGTATGGTATAGTACGTATGGTATTGGTGGGGTATGGCAGGTATGGTAGGGGATGGCAGGTAATACGATAGGTATGGTGTGGCAGGTATGGTATAGTATAGCACGTATGGCATGGTAGGGTATGGTATGGTATAGTATAGTACGCACTAGTATGGTACGCATGGTATTGGTAGGGTATGGCAGGTATGGTATGGCGTAGGTGAAGGAAGCAGAGAAGAAGAAGGAGAAGGAGAGGGTGGTCTAGGAAAACAAGAACCCCATTCAGGATGTGGGGAACTAAAATGAGGAGGACGAGTGGGAGCAGGGGAGGATGAGAGCGAGGAGGGGGGGGGCAGGGGGAGGAGGGAGGGGGGCAGGATGGGGGGGAAGGCCTGAGCGAATTGACAGGCGCCTCCTGGCTGCGTCCGTCCTGTTGCCCCGGGGGCCTTCCCGGCTCTCATCGCGGGCGAAAAAACAGATCCGTGCCCGCGGCATCGCGGGCCGGCCTTTTTTGGCCGCGACCCCGCAGGTACGGCGCGTTCTGTCGCTGATGCCACGCGCGGAACGTACCCGTGCGCTCGCGTGCCCCTGGGATTGCACCCCAGTCAAGACGTTGAAATGAGGTACAGTTTGGGCACGAAAGGGGCTCGCTGCCCTTGAGTTCGTTATGTGGTTGTTCCTCTAGGTCTCCTCGTGCACGCTGGCGCTGTTGGGGCCAACAAGGGGCTTCGCTCCTTCCTTACCGTTCCTTATTTCAGCGGCCCGACTGTACAGTCAAGCCGCATGGTACGGATGGGCAGCCTTCCCAAGGGCACCATTGCATCCTTGCTTCCTCGGTCCATCCTTGACCACTTTTGTTGGCCGCGACCCGCTCGCAAATTGTCGGCATGGCATTCCAAGGCCCTTGCATCCTTACCGCGCATCCTTACGATACGGGTCGACTGTATGTCCCTCGCTGGTGGTCTTCCGGGTCGGCTCACCGACCGCGGGGCGCGTCGACGACATCCTGGAGCTCCTCGGCGGGCACGGACCCCTCTTCGTGGTCCGAAGCGCTCCGCGCGCAGCGCCGCCGCCCCGCACGGAGACGACGGCGAGGACAGCGACGAGGACAGCGACGAGGACAACGACGAGGACGACGACGACGAGGACGACGACGAGGACGACGACGACGACGACGACGACGACGACGACGACGACGACGAGGACAACAAGCACGACGAGGACGCCCCTCGCGGCGGTGCCGCTGCGCGCTCACGCGGCGGCGGCACGGGCGGGGGGCGTGCCAGGCGGAGCGCCGCCAGCGGCCCGGGATATTCGCCAGGTGCGGTGCCACCTGGCTATCGGAAAAGTCCACCGATCGTTCAAAGATTGAATGCAGTGGGAGCCCATGCCAATAAACACCCACGTTGGAGGAGGAGGAGGAGGAGGTGGAGGAGGAGGAGGAGACAGCGGAGGACGAAGAGGAGGAGGAGGAGGTGGAGGAGGAGGAGTAAGCGGAGGACGAAGAGGAGGAGGTGGAGGAGGAGGAGGAGGAGGTGGAGGAGGAGGAGTAGGGGGGAGGGGGGCGCGACGTCGCCGGGGGAGAGAGGGGAGCAGAGCGGTCGGTCGGACCAGGGCAGAAGGTCGAGGCCGGCTCGGGGAGGATACCCTGCAGTGGGGGCTCATGCCAAGAGACACCCTGCTTGCCTCCAGGGTGCCCTGGGTTTCTTGGGCTTCGATGGATTTGTCATGGAACGCGTGACGTTCCCACACCAAATATCGACGGACATCTTGGGGTTTCAGGGTTGGGTTTCTTGTGGAGGTCTCTTGTGGTCGGGTCTTCACTGTATGCAAATATTCGGCGGCGGGCGAAGGGGGGAAGTGAGAAGGAGATGGCCCTCCAGAAGGCTCGGAAGTCCTCCAGCCTTTCGAGAAGTTGTCTGAGCCTTCTTTGAAGACACAACAGACTTCTCAGAAGGCGCGAGGGCTTCTGAGGAGTCCCGCCGCCTTCTGAGAAGGCCTTCTCCTTCTCACTTCCACCCCTCGCTCGCCGCCGAAATATTGCCAGTTATCGGAAATCAGCTGGTCGTTTCCAGGCCGAAGAACAACCGATTGCAGAAACATGAACTTTGGAGCTCCGAGTGAACTTCTGGGATCGGCGCTGGGCCCCCCCCTTCGACGCCTCCAGCGCCGCCCCTGGCGCGCTCCTCGCACCAGGGCGGGGGATACATCGCCGATCCAAGAGATCCTCACGGAGCTCCTAAAGTTTGTGTTCCTCTAGCTTCATGGGGACTCATTTACACAGACGCAAGTAACATCCGACCCCCATGAAAATGTGGGATAACATTAGAAGTGACTGGGGAAGACGAACATCCAGAAATACAAAACACCATATTTGGAATTGTGTCTATTGATTTGTGTGTCCCCGGGCCCCTTCACAGTTTCCAAGGCTCAACTCCCCGCGCGGTGTCGGGAGCCAATGCTGGAGCCGTCGCGACGCGGGCCCGCCGTGGGTCACCTCGTCGCGGCCTGCCTCAGCCATTCGAGCGATCCTCGGCTGAGAGCCTCTGCTGGGGGGGGCCTCCTTCCGCGCACGCCAGCGGCACTAAGGCGGCGTCCAAGAGGGGGGGTTGCAAGTCATGGCCCTTGAAGGATCAGCGCCAGGGCCCCCTGGCGGCGCCTCCGGCGCCGCCAATGGCGCGCTCCGCGCGCCAGGGAGGTGGGTGGGTCCAGCGCCGATCCGAGAAATCCGCGCGAGGCTCGGAGTTTTATGTTCCTGTCGTTGTTTGTTCCCCTAGGCCTGGGAGCGGCAGACATCGAGCGATCTGCTATGTCGGAAGACCGCGATCGTTCAGAGATCGGTTCCCAAGGCTCCCCTGTACCTTAAATGCCTTTCTACTTCATCTTCCTGACGACTTCTTCCGACCGATGTACAGACAACGTGCACAGTGTAAGCCTCACGTGTACGGCCACTTGTCCAACTTGACGCGATTTGCTTGCAACGCGCGTTGGCCAAAAAGGTGGATGACCAGCTGGGCCCCACCTCCGAAGAGTGCGGCTGATCATCTCGGCTCCACGGCCGTGGGGGACCGGAGACTTTCGGGTGTGTTGCTCGCAGCCGTTGTGCCCAGGGAGGGCGCACTTTGGGGCAAGCGGATTGTGTTTCTCATCGCTTGCACAATCGTGTTTTGCGTGTGGATCCTCAACCTCTTCCTGGCGCTAACAAGTGAGGCGTCCTGCTGAGGGGGGGAGGGGACGGATGAAGGCATGATGCCAGTAGTGCGTTGATCAGGGCCTTGAGGTTCGAGTTGCTGTTCATGATTTCCTTGTGCAGTTCATTGTTTGAAGAGCGTGTCCCATGTTGTTATTCAATCGATGCCAGAGGTGCGATTTCAGGATCGATGCAGCAAGGCAGGCATACGTTATCGCGTGAGTGCTCCTCGGGAGACCTGAGGCGTACGACAAGGCGCAGGAGGAGTGCCTGAGCAGCTTCCAGCAGGAGTCTGGGCCTCGAGATGGGGTCGAACTCGTTCTGGGACCAGGCGGGGATCCCTGATGTGAGAGAGCAGCTTCAACAGAGCCCGTCGCGGTCGAAGCACGGACAGTTGATGATCCATTATTTTCGAGGGAGGGGAGCATGGATGAAATTCGGTCATCCATCAATTTGCATCGTGGTTCTGACGATTCTGAAGTTTCGCTCGTGCGACAGACGTCACATGTCCTGGCGGGTCCTCATCGACCTGTGCATTTGGAACAGTTGAGCGGCTTGTTGTTATTGCTTGTCGACGCGCTGCAGCCTCGGACTTCTAGATGGCCCACTGGTTTGAGCGGGTGAGCCCGCACTTTGTAGCTGATCGGTGCGAGATTGGCAGCCTTCTGCAGAGATGGCCGTGCCGACGTCATGAGTTGAGGAGCAAGGGTCAGCGATATTGAACGAAGCCTTACCCATTATAACACTATGACGACGTAGCCTAACGTTTGTCCTCGTCTTTTGTATTAGGCATCGTGAATGTAGGTGGTTTCGTCTCATACATCTGCAGAAAGACCTCTATCCCTGATGGTGTTGGCCCTTTAACCCAGGTTCCCTCCAAGAAGTGTTTGGAGCACACTTTCTGCCATCAAAGGGGTGTCTGGAAGTCCCGGCCCTGCCGAGTTCCCCGAAGATCGACTCCTCGGGCGGCAGTGACGGACAACTCCCGCCTCCGTCAGACCTTCTCGGTGCGCAGGCGTTGCCGCCCGAGCGTGCACCTCTCGGGGCTTACCTCTCGGGGCTTAAGCGACGGGGGTCGATGCCAACGGGAGTCATTCGAAGAAGAACAATGACATAGTCGTAAACTGTTGGCACTCCGCGCAGGTTTCTTGGATCCGCGCCGGGGCCCCTCTGGCGGCGCCTCCGGCGCCGCCCCGGGCGCGCTCCGCGCGCCAGGGAGGGGGGTCCAGCACAGATCCAAGAAATTTGCGCGGAGCGCCAAGTGTTTATGCATATGGCGTTTTTTCTTTTCCTAGGTCAGTCAACGCGCCAGATCTCGCAGGATCTTGCAGAGCCAGGGGTGCATTGACCCGGGCTAGCCCGCAGGGCCCTGCAGGATCCTGCAGGATCTTGCAGGATCCTGCCAAAGCCCGACTGGCCCGGGTTTGCATTGACCCGGGTCCGTAGACTCCTGAACCCCACCTGTCGCCGGCGCGCGTAGCCGAGCGCACTGGAAGAACACATCATCGCACCATCTCTTACCAGGAACATCCAGGAGGCCTTGCGCGGTGCGCGATGGTTGTATGATCTAGTCCTCGCGCGGCGATGCTCCAGCGCAGGTCCGTCGTCAACCCGACGTGACCCGACGTGAATCCTGCGGAAACCCGACGTAAATCCGACGTGCATCGGGTCTCAAGCTGCCGCGCGAGGTTTTCAGGAATTTCTTCATACCATCCCCCCATGATGACTCACCTCGGACCTCTTTCCCTTCCCTGACCCCGAGGAGAGGCTGGCCATCTGCATCCACTACATGTTCCATCCGTCCTGCCCCCGCAGGCGCGCCCGCGCGCCGCGCGCCCGCGGCCAGACACCATGCTCCCTCAGGACCCGTAGACACGCAGATCGGCACGAACGAAACGGGTACGGAAACAATGGGTACAAAGTCCAACAGCAGTTCTTGTTCATTCTGGCCAGGGTTCGCTGTCAGCGTCGCCGCGGTCGTCGTCACATTGAGACCGAAGGCCACCTGCCCAACAGCGGCCGCTGTTGGTTTGGGACAACATTCGTTGTTGGGCATCGTACCCGTTTTGTCCGTACCCATGTCGGGCGTCCAAATATTACGGCGATGCAGGGAATGTAGGTGTCTGGTATTGTAGGTGGGGTTGGTTCGTGGCCAACCCAGTTGTAGAAAAGCGTGGTTCGCGTTTTCCTGCGATTCGTCATGCCACTGTTGCTCGAGGCATTCGCGCACTTTAGATGTACGAAAGTGCAGTTCGTGATGTCCTGCAATTTGTTATGCGCGAGTTCGGCGTCGCAAAAACACATCTTCCCAACATCACTGCCAACCAACATCGCCATTGGTGTGGCCTGGAGGACTCCTCCCTCGGATCAAAAAAAAGGCCTCGTGTTGCGGTCTCAACAGCCCAACTCTGGGCGCCGCCGGAGGCGTCGCACAAGTGTTGAGATCGCCCCGGACTACTCGGGGGGCCTGTTGAGGCCAGCCGGGAGCACCACTGGGGGCTGTCAGAGGCTTGGCCAAGGTGACGCTCAGGCTACCTCGGCCCATCAGGCTACTTCGGGACACAGGCCAGGAGAGGGCGGAGCAGTAGCAACAAGAAGCTAACCAGCAGGAAGCTATGAGGATGACGCGGAAAAGGGGCATCAGCACCACGAGGAAGGAGTCATGGAGGAGGAGGAGGAGGAGGAGGAGGAGGAGGAGGAGGAGGCGGAGGCGGAGGAGGAACACAAGGAGGAGGAGGAGGAGGAGGAGGAGGAGGAGCTGGGAGGCACAGTTACTCTGCGCTCTTCTGGGCACTCGGCGTTTTCCCTCGCCCTCTGTATTTCCTTTCCTGCGCGGGCCTGCCGCCCGATTCGCCTTAATTCTTTACGCTTCGCGTATCCCCACCAGCCCATCTCACAACAGCAACTCATGCGAAGCATGCCGACAGTCGTGTTTTTCAGGCGTGTGTCCATTTGGCCCCGCATATCTCCCCTGTTCCTCCTTCCTCCCGCCTCCTTGTACATCCTCCTTGTGGGGGGAGCGGGAGAAGGACGAGGCGGAGGAGGAGGGAGAGAAAGCGCTCCTCGTGATTTGAGTCGTTTGGGGTTTCTCGTCCTGGTGTGAGTCGTTCGGGCCCTTCTTCCTGGTGTGAGTCGTTCGGGCTCTTCGTGGTGTGAGTCGTTCGGGCTCTTCGTCCTGGTGTGAGTCGTTCGGGCTTCTCGTGGTGTGAGTTGTTCGGGCCCCTCATCCTGGTGTGAGTCGTTCGGGCCCCTCCTCCTGGTGTGACTCGTTCGGGCTCCTCGTGGTGTGAGTCGTTCGGGGCCCGCGTCGTGGTGTGAGTCGCTCGGGCTCCTCGTGGTGTGAATGGGTCGGGCGCCTCGTCCTGGTGTGAGTCGTTCGGGGTCCTCCTTCTGGCGTGAGTCGTTCGGGTTCTTCGTGGTATGAGTCGTTCGGGCCCCTCGTCCTGGTGTGAGTCGTTCGGGCTCCTCGTGGGGCCTCTTGGCGGCCTCTTGGAGCCTCTTGGGGCCTCTTGGGGGCCTCTTGGGGGCCTCTTGGGGGCCTCTTGGGGGCCTCCTGGGGCCTCTGGGGGCCTCTTGGGGGCCTCTTGGGGGCCTCTTGGGGGCCTCTTGGGGCCTCTTGGGGGCCTCTTGGGGGCCTCTTGGAGGCCTCTTGGGAGGCTCCTGGGAGCCTCTTGGGGCCATCTTGGGGCCTCTTGCGACCTCCTCAGAAGCGCAAAGAAGCGCTACCCCCTGAGAAGGACAAAATGAGCCCAAAACCCTCGTAAAAGCAAGGATTTTGGCTTCACAGAAGAGGAGGGGACTACAAGAGTGCCCCCCCGTCGGGGCCAGAATCCTCGTGAGGGTCGTCGTTTTTTGGCCCTCCCAGGCGTCGAAAAAAGACCCCACTGACGACCGGCGGAACTCCCTGTCCAGGCCCAGGGGGAGGGGGTAGGGGGAGGGGTAAACCCCCCCCCGAAGGGGAAGAAGGGGGGTTGGGGGGTTGAGAACAGAGAGAGCTCGCTAAACCACTCACGCCCAAAGGGCTGGTGGGATTTGCCCAGAACCGCGCTGAATCGTTGTTCTGCACCCTGTGGACAATGTGCCACACGAGCGCTGCGAGATCATGCTCAGATAGAGTCCGGCCAACGTCAAGAAAGTTGGGAGGAGGTGGGAGACGGCGCAGGCGCAGGAGGCGAGGGCGTGGCGCCGATGGCACCGTAGGCTTACTCTGATATTCCGCGTTCCTGCTCCTCCGCCCTCCCTGCCTCCCTCCTCCCACTCCGTCGCTCTCTCCTCCCATCCTTCTTCCTCCCTCCTCCCTCCCTCCTCCCGTCCTCCTTCCTCCCTCCTCCCTCCCTCCTCCTCCCTTCCTCCTCCATACCTCCTTCTCCTCCCTCCCTCCTCCTCCCTCCCACCCTCCCTCCTCCTCCCTCTCTCCTCCATGCCCGGCTCCTTCTTTTCCTCATCTGCCCTCCTCGCTCCTCCCTCCCTCCCTCCCTTTCCGCATCGTCCCTCCTTCCGCGGGAGAGGAGACGAGGAGCATCGAGAACGGAGGTTTCGGGGGCGTATCCAAGCTGTTCTCGGCCCCTGCAGGTTCCCCAGGTCTCCGGAGGCCTCCCGAGGCCGCCTGTGTCCGGGGGGGGGGGGGACAGTAGTTTTCGGGGGCGGCAAAGAGGGGGGTGATGACTGGGGGGGGGTGGATATCATGGCGGGGGCCAGGATATCGCCCCAAATTTCAGGGCGACTCTTCTCATTTTAATACGTCCCCGGCCCCCCCCCCCAGGGCCGCGCACACGACGCCGGCCGGCCATGATTTGCGCTCCCCCCCTCTTGGACTCCCCCCTCTTGGCCGCCCCCGAAGTTTGTGGGACCAGGAGGAGGGGGATGGGAGGGGAGGGGAGGAGAGCAGGAGGGTCGAGGATCTGGAGAAGGTTTGATGTGGAAGGAGGGTGGAGGAGGCGGGCGACGACGACGAGCGACGTCGGCCACGACCAGGCTGACGACGACCACCATCACGATCACGACAAGCGCGACCACGACCGCCACGATCACGACCACGACTGCAACCACGACCAAGGCTACGACCATGGCGCGACGACGACGACACTGACAACGGCGACGAACGACGACGGACGACGTTTTCGAACGACGAACGCTAAGACCACGAAGCCGCACGACAAACGACGCCCTGTACGACCACGACGGACGACGGAGTCGATGGCGACGACCACGACGAACGTCTTACCGGACGGCAGGCGATGGTCGGCGGACGGATGAAGGCGGCGGCGGCGAGAACTCGGCCCAGGCCGCCGTCGTCGGCGTCTGCCTCAGGGTCGCCGCTGCAGTCCGCGTCTGCGTCCGTGTCCCCTGAGATCCGACTGCGCGAAGGAATTGCAACATCGTAACACATCACAACCGGATGCCCAGGCCCCACCTTTTTGCTCCATGTTTCGGGCCGGATCGATCTGTGAGGGCCCCCCGGCCTGAAGCCAGGCGATGGCAATGCCCAGCTCCGAAAAATTGAGATGCCAAGATCTCGGGGTCGGTGTCGGCGGCGGCGTCATCGTCGGCGCCAGCGCCGCCGTCCTCGCCGCCGCCGCCTCCCGCCCGGCAAGGCGCCCCGCGGATGGCCAGAGTTCCGCGCCTCTCCCGTGGTGGTGGCGCGCCGCCACCTGCGCGGCCATTTTGGTGCTGGCCGCCACCCTAGTGGAGCGGGGGTGGGACGAGGATCGATCCGCTCCAGAACGCCCTGAGAGGGTCGTGGCGCCCGAGACATCCTCCAGAGCCGCGGGATCTCAGAGACCTCGATTAATTAATTGGGGGGCGCGTAGCGGGGGGGCGATCGCCAGGGGGGGTCAGCGAGGGCTGCAACCAAGAGGACCTTGAGGGCCCCTGCAGGAGTCCTTTCTCGGGGAAGGACAGCCCTCCTACCCTGACACGTCGATTAAGGAATTGGCCGTCTTCGGTTCGCGAGAGGACGTCGCGGCTGTCATTTCTGCGGGTCCAGGTCCGTCGGTTTCGGTCCCAGGCCGTTTTCACTAAGGGGAGGTCCACTAAAGGGAGGTTTGTCCACCGCCGACTTTCGGGCAGAAGGGGACCTTGAAGGCCCGAGCAGGTCACCTTTCTTCCCCCCCTCCATTCATCGGCCCCCATGGAGTCGCGCCCGAATTTACCGTCCTGGCGTCGCCTTGCCCAGAGCGCGGCCGCCCCTGCGCGGCGGCCGGCCCCGCCGCGCCGCGTGGAGCGACCGGCCGCCGCGGCGCAGAGTTTGCTTTTGAGGCTTCCCAGATGCTGCCATGCAGGATGCAGTAAGCGGCGGACGAACCGACCCCTGGCAAGCCATACCCTTTCGTGACGTCCGCCCCGCCTCAGCCCAAGACTTACGCACCCTCCACCTCCACCTTTCATGCCTTCCGCTCTCCGCGGGATGTGCGGAGGAAATCATCGAATTTCATGGAAAATTGTACGCAATTTAGGGGAGCACACAAATATCATATCGAACAAGGGGCGGAAGGGTAGGGCGGAATGTCCGGTAGAATGAGGGGGAGGCATGAAGGAAGCGGTCAGGAGCGGCCTGACCAATCCGTAGCCAACCATACCTTTTCGTGACGTCCCCCTCGCCTCAGCCCAAGACTGACGCATGCGGCCGCTGGGGGGCCTGGAGGGCGCGGGGGACGTCACGGAAGGTGTTCGTCACGGCAGGTGTCGGCTAGGCCGCGCCCGAAATTTGCTTTGAGGTGTTTCCGCTGCTCTTGACCGGGCACTGGGCAATCGGAACATTGTTCAGGGTGAAGGGTTGGTATTGGAGGAAGGGGCCTTGGGTCCGTTTCCCTCAGGACCCGTTCTTCTCATGCTAACAGATGGAGTCCGAGCAGATGAGGTCGGATGATCGCGCCGCATCGCCGATCGGTGCGGCTTGCTCGATGTGGAGCCCGATGTTCTCCACGCAGGCGGCGCCGACGCATCTCCGACGTCGACGATGCATCGCCGAGGCGGCGCGACCCCTCGACCCCCTCAGCTCGGACCCTCTTCGGGAGGCCACTGCACGCGCGCAGGCACCTGCCGCCGCGGCGCACAGCGGGCCTCGAGCCAGGCCCCCGCGCACCTGGTCGCCGTGTGCGGGCCCTCGGGGCCTTCCTGCCAGGGCCCCGGGGGGCGTCGACGAAGGCCACGCTGTTTGGTGCAGATTCGGACAAAATCACTCGCGTGACCTTTCGCCCCTCCCCCCTCCCCCTCTCCCCCCCCATCGCCGCCATTTCAGACAGTTCTGGGCCAGAAAGGCGTGAAAGTGTGTCCCGACTTTCCTGAAGTCCAGCTTTCCTTTCGTGCCTCGTCCCCCCCCCTCAACATCAGCCAGCGTGTACAGAGAACTAGCCTCAAGCATCCAAGGATGAGAAGTGGTCCTGGGAGGACCCGCTGGGATCCAGGACCCGTCTCTCAGCACCATGCAAACATGCTTATACTTCTTCGTTCGCCCCTGCCCCCAGGGGGGGCGCGCGCGCGCTCAGAACCCTTAGTAAAGATGCCCAGTGGCGGGAAACGTCCGGCCGTACCGCCTGGGTAGCATACAACCGGTTGTCTGTATGGCGCGATCGGTTCGGGCGTGCGCCTTCAATGGGGGGCGCACAGGTCTATTATGCCCTGCTGCGTCGCTGTTCCCCTCGGGGCCCGCATCCTCAACCCATGGGTCGGCGCCACCGGGACGGTCACGGCACCCAGCGCGGGCACTGCTGCAGCTCGCAGCAGGGAGTCGGCGCGGAGGGTGGCGCGAGCGAGCGGCGGGGAGAGCGCTGCCAGCGTGCATCGATCGGGATCCCCGCCTCATTGAGCACGTAGTGCCCATGAGGGCGGCGTTGACACGCCGACGGACCGCGGCCGTGGTCGCCGTCGTCGCCGCCGTCGTGTCGTCGACGAGGTCGTGCGTCGTCGTCGGCGTCGTCGTTGCCGTGTTCGCTGTGGTGGTCGTCGTTCGCCGTCGTCGTCGTGTATCGACGTCCTCTTCGTGGTCGCCGCCGTCGGTCGTCGTTTGCGTCGGCGTCGTCGGCCGAGGCTGGATATCCCGGTCGTCGCAGAAACGTTTCGGGACGGCCAATGTTCTTCAATTGGGGCCCTCCAGGGGGCCAGTGTCGGGAAGTGGGTCCATCTGAGGAACGACGCGGGATGAAGCATTGGTCAAGAATTTTGGCTGCGGTGGCTTTTCCCAGGCGTCCCTTTACGGGATCTGCAGACGTCCCAACCCCTTCCCATGCGGCGCGTTTTCATTCAGATTCTGGCAAGTGTATTTGCACTGCATGTCGCCCCCACCCCCCTCCGCCGCCATTTCAAAACAATAACGCTGGGCGTGCAAGTGAGTTACGACCTGAGTGGAATCCCCATTTTATTTCGAGTCTCGCCACGCCCCCCTCCCTCTACATGCAAGCAAATCCTCGCCTTCAGTTTTCCAGACCTTCCGCCCTAACTTTCCGCTCTTTTTTGATATGATCGATGTGGGTTCGGTTTCTCTGAAGTTGAGTCAGGCTTTAATGAGTTTCGAAGATTTCTTCCGCACTTTCCGCGGAGGCCGGGAGGTATGAACGGTGGAGGTGGAGGGACACCCCCCCTCCTGGTCCATGCAGGCAAACCTGCCCGCGTCCACAGAGAAGCTGCGTGCTGGGCCAGTTCTCCATCTGGGGCAGTCTTGCCCCTGTGCCAGCAAACGGCATTCCCTGCGAGGTCTGAGCCGCTCGGCCATGAGGGGCGAGCTGCGCTGCGCTGGAGGGGGAGGAGGAGGGGCACCGGAGCGACGCAGAAAAACGAAGCCGTCTTCGCCAACTTCGGCGCGTAAGGGTCCCGGGTAAGGTCGCGCGTGAGCGCCATCGTTAAAAGACGCGGCTTGCCCCGCTGACGGCCCGCAGAAGCCACCGCGCAAGGCCGCCATGCCCTGTCGCGCAAGGCCCGCTTCTCGTCGCCCGCCTGGCTCGAGGGCCCCCCCCCCAGGCGCCGCGGCGGGGCGCACAGGCCCCCTGCTGTTTCTGGCGAGGCGGCCCAGATGGAGCCCGAGGCCGGCCTGCAGGCCCTCGCCGCGGGGGGCGCGGAGTCCGAGGTCGCGGCCGAGGCGGCCCTGGCCGCGCCAATGCCCGCCGCGGCCGTGGCGGTGGCGCTGTGCGTCGGGCTGGCCGGGCTGTGCTGGCTCCGGCGCGCGGGCGCGGCCGGCGGCGGCGACAAGGGCCCTGACGCCTTGGGCACGGAGGAGCTGCGGCGCCGGCGCCTGGAGGCGCTGGCGGCGAGGCCGGCGGCCAGCGCCGAGGGCGGCGCTGGGGGCGCGGCGGGGGCGGCCAGCGGCGGCGGCGGCCCCGAGCGGGGGGGCGGCGGCGGCGACAGCCCCGTCGGCCGCCCCGCCGCGGCGCCAGGAGCGCACTTTTGTTTTGATTCTGGCCAGGCCAGAGGAGTGGTCAGAGGAGAAGAAGGTATTACGGTACACCAATACCGCTGCCCTTATCTCGTTTTCACCTTTTTGGGGCCCCTGGGAGTCCCTCGTCGCCACCGCTGGAGTTGCCTTGAAATTCTGCTCAGAACGCACCTCGGGAAAGGTCCCGGAGTACCAGCCATGCGCAGAGGGGGGTAGGGGGAAGGGCGAAGGCTTCGTAGAAGCACCCCAGGCCATCGCCTTCTGAGAAACAGCCTCATTCTGATCGGCCACGCGCAAAGGGGGTTGGAAGGTTTCTTAGAAGCAACGCTGCTTCGTAGAAGGCGCAGGCCTTCTCTGTAGATGCAGGGCCGGCGCCTTTACAACGCAGCCTCTTTGTAAGAAGCCTTCCCCCCTCCCCCTACCCCCGTGTGCGCGCCGCCAGTTTAGGGATCTTTCCTCCCTCCACCTACCCCTCTGCGCGCTGGCAAGAGCAGTGGAGGTAGCAAGAAACGTGGGGCTGGAGCAGGTGCAATATTAATCTTACTAGTTTCGCATGGGTGCAATTGTTTGCGGTCTGGGAACAGTGGTTTTGCGTTGATGCAGCCGCCCCCCTTTCATTGCCCACATCGCCATTCTGGCAAGTTCACTTGCGTGGCACGTCGCCCCCGCCTGCCCCCCTCCCTCATGTTCCACACGGACTGCAGATATGAGGGCCGCTAGGAATTCTGGAATTTGTGGAACCTATCCTGAGCCAATCTCCTCATGAGATTAAGCCCGTCCTGCCCTCCTCCACCATGCATGCAAGTAAACTCGCCAAAGTGCAAACAAAGAACTACCTCCAGGGCGGCCGGCCGCTGAGGCCTCGGGGCCGGAGCCAGGGCTCTCAGAGGAGGCACCAACTCACCGATCCGAGGCTCCGAGAAAAAGTAGCCGGTGTTTGGCTCTTTTTGCCCTTCGGGGGCGTCGAGTCCTGGGGATGGGGGGGGGGGGGGGGCAATATCTTACGGGGGGGTGAAGAAAGGTGCACGCTTTAAAAGTAGCCCCGTGGGGCCCAAAAAGGGCACGAAAGATGCACGTTCCCCGTCTTCCCCAACCGATCGCCCCCCATGGCGAACGCCCAAGCGCCGGGGGCCCTCAGCAGGCTCCGGTACCACAAAATACAACTCGGGATGGACAGCCAGCCCTAGTTAGGAATGTTATCCAGACCTCCAGGGGCCCACTCATCGCCAAACATTGGAGCGTGGGATGTTTGGGAAGGTACCGATGCCGATACCCTTCCTCGCTTTCGCCTTGTACGGGGCTCTGGGAAGCTCTCGTCGCCACCCTTTGGATTCGCATCAAGATGTTGACACCAGAATTCGATATTTCCCAAATGAAATCTAAGCAGATGTGGTCGGAGGAGCGCGCCGCATCGCCGATGTATCGGCGATGCGGCTCAATATGGATTTTTCCACGCTGACGTGGCCGATGCATCGCCAGCGTCGCCGATGCATCGGGGATGCGGCGTGATCTTGCGACCCCATCTACACCGACATCATCTGGGAGACATTTTGAAAAAGGTATCGATGCCGCTATCCTTCCCGCGTTCTCGTAAGGAAAAGGTGCCGACGCCGATACTTTTCCCGCGTCTCCGCCTTGCGCGGGCCTCCTGGGAAGCCCTCGTCGCCACGGCTGTTTTCGCCACGAGGTTCCGGCCAGAACCCACCCGCGGAGAGGTCCGTGGAGTAGCGCGGCATTGGTGCGTGCTGGTTCCCCCAGGTTCGCCGTTCAGGTCCGGGGTTTCGTGGACGGCTGCTCCCGCACGCAGAGCGTTGGCGGCCTCGCGGCCGCCATGAGCGTGGGCCAGCTGCAAGACGCTGTCGCCGAGGCGTTCGGCCCCGCGGCGGCTGGGCGGCGGCCGCGTCTGTTCCTGGGGGCCCAGGAGCTGGAGGAGCAACAGGTCGTGTGGCACCCCTCAGTTGAGGATGAGAGTGAGGGGCGGGCGCGGGGTGGGTCGCCGGTGGGTCGCGGGGGGGGGTCGCCGCGGTCGGGTCGCGGAGGACGCGGAGGATCTTAGGCGAGGGCGACGACAACAACAACACCACAACCAACAACAGCAGCAGCAGCAACAGCAACAAACAACAACAACAACAATAACAACAACACGACTTTATAATAAGGATAATAACACGTGAGCGCCTGCTGGCGCGGGGAGGCGGAGGTGGAGAGCATGCGAATCCCATGCGATTGTCATTTTTTTTCGTGGGGAAAACGGGCGGGCAATTTTGCGGCGCCTCCAGGTCCTGGCCCCGGGTGAGCAGGTAAATTATGTTTCGTTGTTCTCTTCCTCTTCCCCTCCTCTTCCTCCTCTCGCTCCTCTTTCTTCCCCCTGTTCTGATACAGTGCTTTAGCGCAGCGCCCCGCCACGTGATCCTGGGCGCGCCGGGGGCGTGTCCCCTGCGCTGCTCCGCGGGCCTCTTCCCCCCTCCCGTGTCCGCTGTCCCCTGTGCATCCTTCCTGCCTCGCATTGACTGTGGCTCTTGGCTCCCCCCGTCCCCCCTCTCCCTCTCCGTGTCCTCTCCTTGCCCTTGTGTTTCTTGGCCCTCGTGTGCGCGCTCTCCCTCTCCCTCCCTGCTCGGCTTCCCCTCCCCGTCCGTCCGTCTGTCGGCCCGGTCTGTCCTTTCCGGTCGCCCTCCCACCCTCTCCCCCTCCCTTCCTCGCTCCTCGGCTCCTCGCTCGCCTGCCCATTTCTTTTCCTTGCCTGGCCCGCTTTTCTTGGTCGGCCTGCCCCGCGGTCCGTATTAGAGTTGCGGCGCTGCCTGTTGTGCGTGTGGGCGGACATCTCAAGCTTGTGTGGGTCAGAGGCAATCGTTGCTTACTTCAGGGAGATGGAATCACCCCACCAGCTTTGACGAATAAGCGACCCGGGATACTTATTTTCATAGATGGATTTGGCAACTCACGTACAAGCAATTTTCCAGGTTCGTGTTGAGAGCTACGTTGTTGTTTCGACCATTCCAGCTTAATTATCATGCTGTGCCGCCCCGTAATTGTTTGCGCAGGGACTGTTGAAGGATAACAACAACAATCATTTCAATACTGCTCGGTGTTTATCAGCTCGCATGCCAGTCAACGCGTATATGCTAACCACTTGGATGCATGCCTTCGTCGTCTTCGATCGTGCCCCCTTTCGGGCATATCTTCCTTACCTGTAGCGCGTATCCCGCGCAGCCCTTGAGGCAGGCGGAGGCAGGACGGATTGAAAGAAGGGACAAGTGGGAGGGAGGAGGAAACACTGGAGTTATGTCGGGCAGGGCTCCTACAGGGGGGTGATCAAAAAGCTTGATTTTTTTTCCCCGCCAGGCTTCTGCAGAGGCTATGTTGGGTTCCGCCGAAAGGTACCGCAAAGGTATCGCAGAGCTATGAAAAAGCTTCTGCAAGGCTGTTTTGGAAAAATGTTTGTTTCCGCAAAACCCCTTGTTTTTTTCCTTCTGCATTTTTTCCTTCTCCGCGTCGTGTTTTTTTTAAGGTTTGCGCTCGCTTCTGCGCGCACGCGTTTCAGCAATAATTTCACCGATCAAGGCTATGTTCACGCTCACGGCTGTCACATGCGCCACGGTACAAACTTGGCAGCGTACAAGCCGCAGCTCGCGCCATTGACGCAAACGCTCCGCTACCACTTTAGCACATGTTGCAACTTCTTAAGCCACACCCGTGTCTTTCGGTAGCCTCAGAACCGTCTTGGAGGCATCTTGGGCCATCGTTAAACCGTTGTGGCAACATATTGGGCCGTGCTAGTACTCGCGAAGCGAAAATAAGTTATTCCTTCTCCTCCTCTTCTCTCCTGCCGCCAACCGCCTCATCTCCTCCTCCCATTCCGTCCCCTCCTCTCCTCTCCAACGTCGCCCTCCCTCTCTCCTCTCCCGTGCGGTTTCCCCTCGTCTCCTCTTCCCTCCGACCCGTGTGATACACCTTGCGCCATCAGGCTCATCCTTCATCGCCCTTCCCCCTCCCCCGCCCCCCCATCATATCACCAGTCCCTTCATTGCCCACGCCCCCGTCACAACTTGAAGGCTACCCGACCATCCTTATCCCCATCAACGCCCGATTCCCTCATCATTTCCCTTTTGCCTTTACGACCCACTCCTTGCCCAAATCATCACCCTCGTACTCCGTCGCCACAATCACGCCATCACCACCGCCCCATTTTACCCATCACCCAACCATCTCATCCTCATGTCCCCTCTTACCCCTGACATGATCCCATCACCTCATCCTACCCACCCCATTCATCCTCCCGTATCCTTCTCTTCCTCTTCCCCATCATCCTCTTCTTTGTCTTCCTTCTCCTCCCCCTCCTCTTGATCACCCCTCATCCTCCCTCCCCCCCCATCCTCCCCCTCGCTCGTCTTCCTCGTCCTCCCCCTCCTCCTCGCCCCTCCCCCGCCTCCCCTTCCTCTTCCTCCTTTTCCCTCCTCCTCCTCCTTCTCCTCCTCCTCCGTGGTATCCTTCTTCCTCTCCCTCCCCCTCCTCCTCCTGCTCATCTTTCTCACCTTGCGCGGTCTTCTCGCCTTCCTATCCCCTCTCCCCCTCTTGTCGCCGTTGTCGCCGCCCTAACCGTCGTCACCGCCGTCGTCGCCATCGTCGGCTGGAGCGGCCACCCGCCTCCCGCGGGTCGAGAAGCGCTGCCAGGTCATCCAGGACGGCGGTGAGTCCACGGGCCCAGGGGGGAGCAAGACCACGGCGCCGACGGCGGCGGCAGACGGGGTCTCACGAGCGACGGGAACACATGGCGACGAGGAATACGATGGGTCGTCGCGACAGCGAGCACAGTGCCACGGGGGAGGAGGAGGAACTTGAGGAGGTGGATTGGGGGGGGGGGGCGATGCTGATGCTGTTGGTGTGGGTGCCGATGCTGTCATTGATGCTGCTGCTAATGCGTTGCTGTTCTTGCTGATGTTGATGATGTGTCTGTTGGTTTTCTGTTTTGACAACCCCACCCCCCAGTTCGCAGCGAAAGCCGCTGCACGCTGCAAGTCTACTGCAGCTTGAGGACCTTCGCGGCCCTCTCGAGCAAGCCCTGCGGCATGCTCTGCCACTTGGCCTTCATGCGGCCAGCCAGCATCTTGATGCCGTGCACCTTCTTCTTCCTCTCCTCCTTCGTGTACCCCGTGCTCTGAAACAGCACGCACACGAGGCCTTCGATGTACGACTGCGCCAGGGCCCCAGCCAGCTCCAGCACTTTCATCTTGAGTTCCTGCTGCGTGGGCATCTGAAACACATTGGCCACGTCCTCGTAGTGCTTAGCCATCCTCTCGAGGTCAGTCTTCTCGTCGAGGTAGCGGTCCGCCTTGCTCTCGCACACCGTCGCGCCAGCCCTCGCCAGCAATTCCGTCAAGTCGTTCACGTCCTTCACGGCCTTCCACCACAACTCTCCGTCGCCAGAACCCTGAGCCCACGTCGCAGTCGCCTCCAGTCTACTGCCCAGTGCCGTCTCCAGCAGCTTCATAGCATGATTGCCCTGGTTGTCGACGTAGAGCTTGATGGCGTTGCTCGTCCCCTGCATGATCGCAGCACGCTCGTCCCCGCCGACATCACCCAAGGCCTTGTCGAGAGCCAGCTTCTTCGACGTCATTGTCTTCATCTTGTCCATGGGCTCGTTGTCGCTGACGCGGCTGCCCTCCGACTCGCCGCGGCAGGCCTCCACGTGGGCAGCCATGGCAGCCTTCGCTTGCACCATCGCGTTGAACGCCGTGAAGATGCTTTTGATGTTGCTGTTGGGGATGACGCCAGAGATATCGATCATCATATCCGCGGTGTTCCCGTTGTCGCTAGTCGCGTCGCTCTTGATATCGTCCCACACGCCACTGCAGAAGTGAAGAACCGCCGCCTGGTTGTCCTGGGTAACCGCACCATCTTGAACCCCCAGGGCATCAAGGAGGATGACACGCACGAGATTTACGTCGATCTTCCCAGTTGGCCCCTTGACGCCATCGGCCATCTTCTTCAGGAGTCCGTCCACGACCTCGCGAGCGCCTGCAGCCTTGATGACCGCGTTGATGTCAGCAATCGCCTTCACGCCGAACTCCTCTGCCAGAATCTTGAGGGCCACGCCGTCCTCGAAGACCTTGATGGCGGCAGCCAGCTCCTCGCGGGCGAAGCCGTCGCCGTTCTTCTTCACGCCATTGTTGTCGACCATGTTCTCCATGATCATCCCGATGAGCCCGCTGCAAGTGACCTCGAGCACGTGCGAGGAGCCCGTTCGCAATGTCGATCGAATCGTCTTGCTGATGTCGATCGCCTCCGTGACAATCGGATGGGGAAGCTTGAGCCCGCTGAAGTTGCGCTTGATGTTACCAACCGCCTCGGCGCACTTGAACATCTTGGGGATCCACTCCTTGGCGTCCTGCAGGGTGCGATGCAACTCCTCGTAGAGTGACTTCCACTGATCGTTCAACCGGAGCACGACACCCAGATCCGCAAGCGCGCCCTTGGTCTTCTTGGCCTGCACGGCGTAGAGCTCCTCCAGCACCTCGAAGTCCATGCTGGCAGTTGGGTCGGAGAGGGCGCACGTGGCGCGGAGCGCGTTCAGCACGTCGACGGCAGCCGTCGGGACCTGGGCGTCCTCCTCAACGCCTGTCTCGAACTGGGCCAGCATGGCAGTGAGCAGGCGAGCCGATGAAGCCTGACCAGACTCCACCACCATCACCGCAGGGATGATCTCCTTCAAGAGCACCGTCAGCAGCAGCGTGAACTTGTACCCCATCGTGCCGTCGATTGTTGCCATGGACACATTGATCGGGTCGAACTCCTCCTCAGCGCGTGCCGTCATCAGTTCCGTGACCTCGGTGCCTTCCAAGACCGCGTCCTCGTCGGCTGCGTGCTGACCAGCCTTGAACGGCATCGTGACGGATACGAGCTCACAGATGGCAGCGTCGTCGAACTCCTCCTTCCCGGAGGCGATGACAGACGAGCACAGCCTCTTCCCAAGGGGCTTGCTCTTGATGTTGGAATCGAAATCCACCTTCGCGTCGACGAGCTTAGTCGGGGTGCCCTTCAAGTCGCCGAAGGAGTAGGCATCGTTGCCGAGGTCGCGCATCAGCTGCGTAGACAACTCCACCGCCGCGGCGTGCTCAGAGAGGTGGTTCGCCGACACCGCCACGCCCCGGGCTGCCAAGCGCGCGACGCAGTCCTTCGCCCAGGCAACGTTCTTCTTCAAGGCCACGCCTGCGAACGCCTTGGACGTGGTAACAGCGGCGCACCAGTACTCTGGAGGCTTCAAGCGGCCCTCGCTGTCGCCAAGCTGCGCCCCCGTAGAGTCGGCCACGGAGGGTGCGAGTCCAGTCTTCGTATTGTGCCTCTTCGCGCTGGGCGTTTGCAATGCAGATGGGCTGTCAGCTGCAACGTCCTCGCGCTTGGCCTCAGGACCTGATGACGTCGACTCAGGAGAAGGCCTCGCGGGCTCGGGCGTCTCTGGCACTGCAGCCCCAGGCGGCTCCGAGGCCGCTGCCACCGCGGCTGCGGGGGCGGCAGCCGCTGAAAAAGCCGCAGGGGCCGCGGCGTTGTCTCCACCATCCTCGGACCCCCCAGCATCGCTGCTGCAGTCACCCACGGAGTCGCCGTCGTGCTCGGGGCCCCTCCTTCCACGAGGCGGCGCAAGCCCTTCGCCTTCGAGAAGTTCTTCTTCACGTGAGCCTTGATGCACTCTTTGGAGTAGGCGCTGAACTTCTTGGCCTTTGGCTGGCACTTGTTGCCGAATATCTGCCCGTGCGCGCGTGCCCGATCATTGGACAGGTCCTCGAAGAGGGTGCTGGGCTGGGCTCTGTAGAAATTCTTCTCTGGCTTCAGAATCGGAATCTTGCGAAGGAGCCGTCTCGTCGCCGTGGCCCTGAGCGTCGGTGGCTTCGCATCGTCCTGTAGGACCACCACTCCGAAGGAATCCTCGCCCTTAGCGCTCGTCACTCGCAACGTCATCACCTTCGCCTGGTCGGGGAAGCAGCCGTGCTCATCCTTGAAGTCGTCGCGAGGCTGGAAGGTGAACTCCTCAGCTAGAGAACTCTCCTGGACGATCTCCTCGTAGACCTCTTCTCCTTCGAACCCTCGTCGGCTAGCGTCCGCTGTCTTGCCAGCCTTCCACTCCTCTTTCTGGGCCTTGCGCTCCTTCCATTTTGCTCCAGCGCTCTGAACTCGTAGCCCGACGTCTTGGCGAAGTCCTGACACTCCCCGCACAAGTACAATTCACCGATCTTCTCGCACTGGCCCGCTGGTGCGTTCTGCTCGCAGAAGGAGCATGGGCATTTCCCACGGCGGCCAGACTTGGCCACGACCGCCCCTGCTGTCGACATCGGCAGCCTCGGCGTCGGATGTCCTCACGTGCAATCACTTCTCGAAGTGAAATAATGGGGCAACTCTAGCCCTGAAACTAT